TGGATGCAGTGCTCTGGGTGGGGTCTCCTGAGAGTGGAGATGGGGGGAGGATCCCCTCCCTCACTCTGCTGCCCATGCTGGGGCTTTCTGGCCTGTACCTGCACGTTGCTGGCTCATGTTGACCCTTCAAACAACACCCCCAAGCCTTTCCCCTCAGGGCTGGGCTCAATCCACTCCATGCCCAGCCTGTATTTGTGCTTGGGATTTTCCTGGTGAGGGGGCTGCCATCAGCTCCAGAGCCAGGGGGTGGGACTGGTGTGATTTGCTCGTGCTTGCTGGCTCCAGGCTGTAACATGTCATCTCCTGGCAGGACATCAAAGCCCCTCTGCCATGTCAAAAGCAGCTCTGGTAGTCGTTCTCCACGTGAAGTGCAAGGAGGCAGCTGGGATTGTGACTCCTTGAAGAGCTACCTGTGTAGGAGAGGTTTGATTTCTCCGTGTGCACGCACACAGACACACACATGTTTTTATTGGCCAACGTGGTCATGTTTGGCCAGCTGCCTGGAAACTCTTCTGAACTCTGCCCAAAGTGGGAACTTGTGAAAAATAGATTCTGGTGGAGGCATGGCGTGTTCTGTTAGCAGCTCCCTCTTTTCTGCTCCACTATAAATATTGACCTTTTTCATCAGTCCTTGACAATCCCTTTGCTGGCCGTCCTTGGCAAGGAGCTGACTTTGGGAATGTATATATTGTATATATTTAACTGTACTGGACCACACTGGTGGTTAGGTAATCTGAAATTATTGGAGGTGGGAGCAGAGGGTTGTGTTATAACTGAAGTGCAGCTTGCTTTTTGGTGTGTTTTTTTTAAAGGGTTTGTGGCTTTGGGACTGATGTGGGTTGTTAATAACAAAATCTGTCCTTAGGGATGCCAGTCTCTTTTAACCTTAATGTGCTATTCTCTCTTCCCTCCCTGTTGTTTCCTTAGGTCCCAAGCCTCTGTGAAGATCTCCTCTCCTCTGTTGACCAGCCATTGAAGATTGCACGAGATAAGGTGGTAGGAAAAGACTATCTATTGTGTGACTACAACAGAGATGGAGACTCATATAGGTGAGTTGTGTCCAGAGCAAGGAACTGATGGGTTTACTTGTGAATAAGAGCTATGGACAAGCACTGCAGTCCCTTCTTTTTACTCTTAGGAAATTTAATGATTAAATTCTCCTCTGCCGTGGTGCTGGGACTGTTCCAAATACTCTTTATTTGAGTAAGACATTGATTATGAGAATTTTTCTTATTTCTCTGATGTGGACACTCCTGAACACCTTCCCCTGCAGACCACCATGGAGCACTGCAGCCTTGGATAACGTGCTTGTCTGGCTGCTAATCTGATGACCTTTGCAAGGCAGGTCTCCACAGTCTGGCTCCAGAACAAGATGTGTTTTGTCCTACAAACCACAGTGTTTCTGCACGTTTTCTTTGCTGGGGTTTGCAATCAGTCATTGAAGCCTAAAATGTGATGATGTTATCCTGTTAAAGGGGTGACTAGCACGTTTCTCTGAGGCTTTCTGTAGCATAGTTCTGTCTGAGAGAAGAAATGACCATGATGGCCTTGATAGGAAATGAATCCATTGTTTTTAGCAGGGCTGTGAAATCATTGGAATGGATTTACAAGAGAAAAGAGATGATGCAAGCAGTCAGTTTAAACAAAATCATCATCTGCTGGTACAAAGCAGGGGGGACTTGCCAGCTGGGAAAGGCTCTTTCACTTGTGTTCTGCAAGGGACTGAGCTGGACTTCAGACCTGCAATGTCATTAGTTCTGTAGGAAAGTCTTGGCCCAAGGTTTTAGCAAAGAGGAGGAATCCCTTCCTACCAAAATAGCTCATTGATTCTGAGGGCTGGAGACAAAACCAATGGAAACATTTGAACAGTGTGAGCTGGGTGTGATTATAATGAAACTGGAAGTGGAAGGGGCTGTAATACTGGAATGATATAATGAGTTTCCAGTGTTTTGGCTGCCACTTTGAATGCAGTCAGACTTTGAATATTTGTATTCTATATGTTGCCATTAGGATGATTTCAGCTGAGTGACAGTAATGCAACTATTTGTTGAGTGATTCCTCCCCCTCCCCTATTTTTTTTTCTACATGACCTGACTTTTCTTAATGACTGTAGTGACAGTGGCCTCGTTCCAAATATTTAATTAAAAACCACAGAGATAGAGTCCAGAGACCTTTGCAGATATTGCATCAACTGGCTTTTATCTCTCCCCTTCACGAGGGTGCTAGGCTGTGAAGTAATGACCAGCATTCATCTTCTGTCCTGAGTTAACAGCTCAGCCCTTCTGCTGCTCCTGGCTGTGATCACAGGGGTTACATCTCTGGCTCTCCATGCAGCTTCAGTGGAAGAGCTTGTGGTTTTAGGGCTAATGATTGGAACTGTTCTACAGTGAGAATGTGGCTTTGCTGTGTGCAGATTTGCAGGGGTGTTTTACGTTCATCTGGCCCTGATGTTTCAGGAATTTTGATGTTTCAAATTGGCATTCCAGGAAATATTTTAACACTTCTTTTTTTCCTTTGGCTCAGGCCATCATTGCAGAAGCAGGTAAGCTTATAAAGGATTCTGGATTAATTAGTTCTGATTGCTTTGAGTTGTAGGCAAGGTGCTTATCTAAACTGAGGGTGTTTCTGTAGGTGATTCACACAGAGACCATGCTGAGATTCATTTTGTCCTAGAAATAGGAGAGTGTCACTGATAACAGCTGCAAAATTTGACAGTGCCTCAGGATTATGGCCAAGTGTAAATCTGAAGTCTTTAAAAATATATGACCTGTTGCAGTGGGCCAAGAAATAAGAAGATCTCTAAGGTTGAAATGTTCACTCGTGTTCTTTCAGGTACTAGTCTAACACTGAAAATTTGTTCAGCTCTCTACAAAAGAATCTTTTAAAAGCATTTATGCATTAAGCTGCTATGGCTACATTAGTTAGTTGCTGTAGTCATAACTATTATTCATTTAATCAGTTTGAAATTAGTAGCTAGAACAGTTTTCTAGCTTCTGCCTTCCACAAGATGGACTCGTGCAGCAGCATCTCTTGCAGATGCCAGGGAAGGGATTGGATCCTGGATTTCATGCAGGTTTTTCAAGAGATGCTCTCTCAGAAAAGCTGGGATACATTTCTTGCAGTCCCCTGGCAGCCTGTTGAGGCTGATGACAGGATCCTCTGTCACCAGTGGCAGGGGAGATGTGACAAGGCACTTGTTGAGCCATCCTGTGACACACTGGGACAACTGCCAACACTTGCTGCCCCTCTGTGTTTCCTCAGAGCTTGGGGCAGCCCTTTCTCTAAGGTTAGATCATGTTTGCCTCTGAAATTTGCTCAATCTCTTTCTTTCTGAGAAGGTATTTAAATATTAAGCAGGAGGACTTGAAAATCACTTCCAAACCTTCAGGATTGATTAAGTAGTGGGGTTTCAGGAAAGCTATTCCATTTGTTCATCTAGAACAGGCACAAGGTATTAATTGCTGGCATTAAAGTCTGTAAGGCTTTTGATTCAGGAGTTCTGGATTGAAGTGATTCTTCCTTCTGGAATTGATTGGTCTCAGCTCTCTTCAGTGAAGTAAATTCTTTCCTTCAGCACAAAGCAAAAGCCTTTGAAAGCTGAGGAACACTAACATGAGCATGTGTTAATCCCATTCTGTGCCTCTGCTCAGACACAGTTACTCATACCTCATAAAATCTGAAGTTGTTACTGGGAAGTGGCTCTTGCACTAATCAATTAGGCCAAAACCTAGGAGGAGTTCACTGTGCTTCTAAAAGCTTTTGATATTTCCACAAAGATTTTTTTCAGAACCACACAGTCAATTAGAAGCCCCAAGAAATGTTATTCCCTGCCTGGGACGAGCCACAGCTCCAGTTACTGCACACTTCAAACTGAGCACCAGTGCTCCTCTGATTGGAGAGGCTGCTAATTGCATTTCTTTTAATACTAATCCAAGGGTTTCAAAGCATTCTGCAGACAGCTGAGCCTCACACTGCTT